TAGTGATTTAAATGTATGTGCGGGACACGATAGTGCGTGACTGTGTGTGTGTGTGCGAGTGCAGATATTGTTCGCACACAGCTATGCATCAATCCATGGCGCTATCAGAATGAAGGCCGGGTTCAGCTTTACCACAGTGATAAACTCCCAGTAACAGCTGACTCAGACATGCCGCTAAAGTTCAAACCGCAGCGTCACTCCTACAATATCTCCTCCTCATCAGCATTTCTTGGAAAGTTTCCAAAAGTTCTATAATCTTGACACATTAAGCCTCAAATGTCTTCAGGTATGTCTGTCGTGGCCCGCAGTTTTTGTGCAATACAGGAGAACCTCCTAACATACAGACTGGAAGCTTTTTAATGGGACAGTGTGGATTGTTCTTGACAGGTCAAGTCAGGCACATGAGTTTACTGAAGATCAGACACAAGCAATAAGTGACGATAGCTGCAGCAGAGGCCTGACATGTCACCACAGAAGAAGGTACTGCAGATGTTTGTGTGCTCTCTTTTAACATTAAGACACTGGCTCAACTTAATCTACTTGTGTTGAGTCAACATAACTTAATGAGTTGATTCAACTTGATTTACCAGTGTCAGACAAAGACTGTTTATTAGTCAGATTGACACAGTTTGACTAAACATAAAGTAATAAATGTTAAGATGTTGAACATCAGGAAAACATTACCGGATATAATCATGTTCATTTTGAAAGCATGAAATAGTTTTTTACAAAAGACACTTTGCTAATGTAACAGCCAGTCAGCAAACTGCAGCATAAAAACCTAATATATTGACTTTGATGGTGTAAATATGGACAACACTTAAAATGTTGTAATCTAATGTTCAGCAGAGATTTTAAGGATGTTATCATTGCAGATAATGTTTCTTTGAGGTTCATTCTATACATTCAGAGGATGTTTGGAGGATGTTGTCAGATTAGACCACGTGATAACAAAAGGAGCATTCGAAAAATGTTTTCAAGATGTTCTCGGGGCCTCGGCTAACAGAATGTTTTTATATAATGTTCCTGTAATTCAGCGTATTAGCAAAGGTGGGACATATTACCTGCAATGTTATGAGGATGTTTAGGGATGTTACTGTTGAGAAAGTTCTTTGAGGAAACATTCCCATAATGTTACACGATAGCAAAGAAAGAACATTTGGAAAATATTTGAGGAACATTGGCTTTAGGTAGAACATTTGGGGGACTAAAAGGAAAAAAACATTACTAGAAACTTGCACAACTTTCTCATTAAAGTTATAACATCCGAACCAGGAAAGTGAAGTCGATCAGGTTGTTGTGTGTGTTTTGAAACTGTGGATTTATGGGCAAAGTTCCCAAACCTTTTAAGCTGTGATTAGTGATTCTCTACATACAGATTTTGTGTCATGTGATCACTGAAATTTCACTTCTGGTTTTCTCCTCTTTCATTGTGATAGGAGCCTGGTTTGGTTGCAGATCCTTGAAGATTGATGACTCTAGTTTTGGCTTCAGCCTCCCTGTCTGCCTTTTTCTCTGCACCAATGTCCTCATCTTCGTCTCTGGGGTTTTTGCACCCGCTCCCCCAGTCCTTATCTCTTTGCTCAAATGGTCCAGTAAGCTGATCAAACACACACACACACATCCAAACACACACATCCAGCAACCCACAAGCTATTTATTGATGAGAATACCTGTGACTTCAGCAAATACTAACCCCTCCTTCAGGCTGCTGAGTGCATCAAGGACACATGATGACTAAAACCAGTGGAATATTACAGGAAGCAAACCCTGACTTTAGCTTTAATCAACGGGGACTCAAAGAAATCACAATAAAACTTTTTTAAAAATTAGTTTAACTAAAACAAAAGGCACAGCTAGAAGAGTTGGGAAGCTTATGTTCTTAGTGTTTTAGCTGAAAATGTAGGTTTTTATCAACCAAGGCGGTGTTACATTTGACATTTTCTTCATAACTAACAGATGGTTGATTTTTTCGATATATTTTTTGATACATAATTTAATTTTCACTATTCTCCACCAGACTTAATATAAAGTAAAGTTGGGAAATCATTAAAAAACTATTTCGGTATTAATGAGGGGCTATTAGACAAACTACAGAAAAGACACGCTAATGTTTAACAGAATTAATTAAATCATTGTCGGGAGAACACAGCCCTATGGCGCCAGTATTTCTAAAAATCTTTGTCGGCAAGCTCGAATTGCACAATTTCCTCACCTAATAGAGGCAGTGTTTGCCTTTTCCTCGACCTATTATCTTGAAATTATTTTATCAAAGCTCGTTATCCCGCCATAACGACAATGATGCAATTAGAAAGCGATCTAATCTAATCATGCACACAATGCCTGACGGAGGCTGCTGGCTTTCAATCAGTGTGTGAGGAAGATGATCAAGGATGTTTTCCACATGTGCAACCAAAGATGTAAACGCTATCAAGTGGTTAAACAATGAGGCTCAGAGTGTAATCAGTGGGGAATGGTGAGAGTTTTCTGGCATTAGGTCAAAAGAGAGCAACAGAAGTTTGAAAATATCCAGAAAAATGGATTGTGACCTGATTTTGCTGTGTGATATTTTGAAATAACTGGATAGATTTTAATTAAAAAGGAAATAAGAGACTTTTACTCTTATTTATTAGCATTTATATCTATTATGGTGACTATGATTTTGTGCCGAAAATACAAATACATGACATTTTGCTGTCGACAAACCCCTAAAACTATCATTTGGCTCTCAGAGCAGAGCAGCAGAGCAAAATTCTAAACCAAATTGTACTCAAGAGGGTGTTCGAGGCTCATTTCAATGATCAGTATGGCCAAAAAAGACAAACATTACACCTTTAAACGCCACATTAATTACAAATTAAATTAGGAAAATCACACTGATGGCAGGTTTTGTGTAGTTTTATGTAGTTTGACTTGGCATGAACTACCATTTTATTGTCATAAGTCAAAGTGTGATGCATTAAAATAAAAGCAGGTCCTAGTTTGTGATTAAAATCCTGATTAGATGTCATGGTTCCCACTATGTTTTTGCTTGTAAATCCCTGAGAAATCAAAATCTTTTTATGATCATGCTCTAGGTTGTATCTAAAATATAATATGTGGTTCATTTTAATCATAAAAAAACTAAAATCAATGGTTAAAGCTTCAGTATTTCACCAGAAAGAAACAAATCTATCACCTCTTTCTTCACCCAGTGCATTAATTGGCAATCCCTGATATATTTAATGTAATTACAGAGTTAAATTATCAAGTACCCAAAGCTGTGACAGCAGCGATGTGGTTAATAGTGGCAGACAACTGAGTGAGCAAAAGCTTTTTGAGGAAGTGTTGACCTTCAAATCGACCACAACAAACGCGGCTGACCTACTAAAAGATGTTCAGTGTCGCTGCTGTATGCCAGCAAAATGTCAACAAGCTGGCCCACTGACCTGTTTCCTAATGGTCAAGCAGATGTCACACTTCAGCTGCATTTAATCATTTTTATACCAAACCCTTTCCAATAAACGACACCGTGGAGGATCAACAACTGCACAGAGCGAACGGCAGGAATCTGGGTCAGAGGTGGCAGAAGAACAGCACAACCCCGAAGGCCTGAAGTGGCACGAGCATGTGGGCAGTCGTTTAGTGTGAGGAGTGTGGTTCAGGTGACCTTGTTGTTTTGTCCACTCAGCAGACAGAAACACTGCCTTGCTCAGATTTAGTGGCTGAGGTTATGTAACTTTTGTTCTGCGCCGGTTATCATGAGTCAACAGTTGTTCAGGAACTGCTGGGGCCTCTCAGGTGAATCAGAGGTTTTCCTTTCAAAGTCACAGGAGATGCTCGTCAAGCAAAATTTGTTTGGGCCGTCTGAAGGTTCAAGGGGCCTTGTCCTGCTGCTGGAGTGTCTTTGAGCAAAAATAAACTGAATCACTGCCAGCTCTATAGCGGCGCTCTAGTCCAGCTGTGCTCTGATCTCTTTAGGGAGAAAAGAAAAAAGAGAAAATTCCCACCAGTTGTCAAGGAAGTGGGAGGAAAATTTGGACAAACTTTGACCTTTGAAGAGACGTGCTCTTGTTGTGGACAACAATATTCAGTAACAAAACTGCTCACAAACACTGGATGCAGGGAAAACGTTCCTTCAGCTCCCCATTTGTTGTAAAATTCAGTTTTAATCTACACCTCAGAACTACATTTTAACCCTTTATGCTGCACCTAGAGACTCATCGGATTAGAAAATCATGTGCTGCAAAAATTCCTAGAAAGAGGGAGCACACTTTTATTGTTTTAGCCCCAATGCTGTGGAACAAGCTCCTTCTTACTATCAAAATAGCTAAAAAATGTGTGAAGATTGGCATTTTGTTAATGTTTTGCTCTTTTGTAAATTGAAAGCGACTATACAAACAATTTTTGTTCCTGTGTTGCTAAAGCACGTCAGGTAATTCTGTTGTTTCATTGCTCTCAAGTCAGCGAAAGTATTCTAGGGATTGCATCAGACACATCCTGATGAGGAAATAACTTATCTTTCACAACAGATCAGCCTTTGAAGACAGACACGCTCTTCAGAAGGTGGAGTTTGCTTCTGATCAGGAAATGGCAAGCCCACTACTTTCTGACAGAACAGTGTGCCGGGTCTGTACCCTCTGCTGCAAACACAATGTTAGTGCTGCAGCATGGAGACAAGGCGTGATGTCTCGGTGAAAGGGTGCTAAATTTAGCCTCCTCTATGTCTTGAATAATAAGTGTGAATGGGTGAGAGTGTGTGCAGGATGTGGTGAGGAGTGGCACGGCTTGTGCTGTAAGGTGGCTTGTTTTTTCCACCCAGAAGCTGCCTTGTTTTTGTGTGTGTGTGTGTGGAAGGGGTACAGTGTGCAGCAGCAGGGGTGAATCTGAGGGAACAGCTGATGGTTGTGAGGAGAGGGAAAAAAAAAAAAAAAGATGGGAGGGTCCAGTAGAGACTGAAGTAGGAAAAACAGCGTCTGAGGAGGTGGGGGGAAGCAGAAAGGGGCGGTGCTACTGTACGATATGAAGAGGAACATGTATATTTACTCAAATGCTACCTCTGCAGTCTAAGCTTTACACAGGTCGGATGTTTATGAGACAGACCTGAGCGACTTAGAAGACTTTCCCTTGCGTCTCAGCCACCACTAGAGCAGCTTTTCTTTTTTTTTTTAATTTGCTGGGTCGCGCGTAAAAGAGGATGCTTTTGTCTCTTCAGCTCTCACCTGGAACAAGGAAACCACGAGAGCTTTTTTGTTGTTTTTAAGAGATTTGTTGCACCAGAAGAGCCTAGTTTTTTAATTTTTTTTTAAAAAATTACTTTTACGGTCATTGGAATGTGCGCTCTTTGTGCTCGTTACACGGTCTTCATGTGCCTTTTCAACTGTGACCTCTAGCACCACCTGTGCGCCCTAAACAAGAAACAGTTCGTTTGTCAGCTGCGCTCGGAGAAACCTTACAGTTGCAGTCAGGGAATTTGCACTGTAAAGATTACACCATAAGGTTTCCAAAACTCCCCTTTTCTCCCCTTGTTGCTCCATTTCTTTTGTGGATTTTAAAAAAAAAATCTTATCACATCCTTTGTCCCAAGTTGCTGACAACAACTTTCCTCCGAAGATAAGAGCAGCACGTTTCAGTGAACGTGGTTTTACGCACAAAGACTTGCGCTCAAGGCGGGACAAGGTGCTGTGAGGTAGAAGAAAAAACAACAACCCAAAAACACTAAAAGGCAAAAAAAAACAAATTCCAGCCATCAGCATGACGGACGGTGCAAGACAACGGAGCAGCACGTCGGCCTCTGCCAAGGATGCTGCGGCAGAGAAGGAGTCCGGAGGAGGAGGCGTTGCGCTCAAGAAAGAAATCGGGCTCGTGAGCGCCTGTGGTATAATTGTTGGTAAGTGCTCGTCAGTAATTAAACTTTCCCTGTACTTGGTTGCATTTTAATAACCTGCAGTGCATTTGTGCGTTTGAAGATGATAGAAAAGTGAGAGAAAGTGACAAAAAAGTGATAGAAAACTCCAGTCCAGTTAAAGTCAGAGTGCAATGCCACCTGTGTTCCAGTCAACTCCTCATTCAAGCCATAACAGCTGCACTGGGGTCAGATTCCACCATTTGGAGGAACAGAACGTTTCTGATGAGTCCCAAGATAAGGATGTTTAGGGATCTGTGCCTCACAAGGACACTTGGTTTCATACTTTAAGGCCAATTTAGGATAAAACCTACACATTTCATTACAAGTAACCAGATTCATGGATACACATGTGATGACAGTCTCATAGGGCACACAGAGACGTGTTTGTAACAGAAACTCTGCTCTCTCCCAGGCCTTCTGCCCCCTAACCCCCTGTAGTCGTTAATCAGTGAAGCGTTCATCATTTCTCCTTAATGAAGACGTGGTCACCCTCGCTCATGTCTGACGCTCTTTTGATTCGTCCATTGTGAGCTCACATGACTGACTTGGGCACAGGCTTTAAATGGCAACATGTGGGCATTCACAAATTGGCCTGCAGCTCTTGTAATTACGCTCAAATGCAGCTTAAATAAGAACAGATTGTGTTGACGTTTAGTGAAAACAGAATGCAGCTTTAAAGGTGACTGATTCTGAACACAAAGTTCAGCTTGGTAGTAGCTACTACTTATCGTCCTGTGCAACCAGTTCTTGTCGCTCTTATAGAAGCTTTCCAAAGTTAAACAAAGGGATGTAATCAGCCGTCAGATTGATTTGCACTGTGGGAAATGTAGGAGCCAGTGTTGTCAGAGTTTAAAGGACATTTCTGTCTGTGCCACATTGATGTTCTTTCTCTCATCAAAGTATAAGTTCCACATTATACTAATCTGTTCCGTTATCGATCAGGTTTGTGGTTGAAGTTAAAAATGGTTAACAGAAAGCAATGGAGCCTAGCATTGTATTACTGCCTCGCTCTCAGTGATGGGTGGAAGTGACACATGCAGTAGCAGGGCTGAGCGTAGTGTCAGTGAGGAGGGAGACTTCATTTTCATTCACTAGAGATGATGGACAAGTGGAGATAACGCCGTCAGACGACACATGGATCGATACTAAATCGGCAGTGAAATATTGTTCGGGTTGTCTGGCCAGACTGTGTGGTCTTTTTGTTGACCTTGACGGGATGAGGAGAAGGGAGGCCATGACTCATTCATTCATGTGTTTCCACGGTAACAGGAGGAAAGAGAGGAGAGAGGATGAGAGTGAGCGTGCGTGCACATGGGGATTCCCAAGAGGTTTGCTCTCTGAGAGAAGCTGCAAAAAGAAAGACGAGAGGGAGAGAGATGAAGAGCAACCTTTGCATTGAACTGACAGTTTCTTAGTGTGTGACTCGCTCCTTAGATCCATGACAGTGCACAAGAAAGGGCGGATTTCTGCTCTGCTGGAAGCAAGCGGTGCTGCAGAAGCTTCAAAGCAAGATTAAGCCAACTCTAAATTGCATTTACACACAGTTGATGGATAGAATAATGCTTTGAGTGATTGCAAACACAGAGGAGCAGATCACAAAGCCCCAGAATACAAGCAAACATCACTGTGCATGGTGCCAACATCTTTTCTCATCAGCCCCGCCCTTAATCGCATCTATGCACCAACATTTAGATAATTCAGTCATTTAATCTAGCACTCTCCATTCATGTACTGATTATTAAGAAACATCTTGGCAGTACTGAGCTGCTCATGCCACCTTAGAGGATTTTTACAGCCGTCCAGAGTCCATACGCGTCGGCACTAGTCACCGGACTGTTCTTGGCCAGAACCCTCGTCCTTGACCAAGTAACTCATTCATGCTTGCTCTGCTCACATTGTCATGTGCGAGAGAGACGTGAGCTCAGGTGACTCGTCTGATCCTTTGGTTGTGAACATGCCCCGCTGAGTTTTCCATGAAAAGGGCTGAGCACACAAGGACATCAAACGGTTTTATGGCCTATTGTACAGAACAGGCATTTATCACTCACACACACATAGAAATCCAGAAACGTGTAAAGCCGTGAATTGGGATTAGAAGTGAACTTTTGGCCACTTGGAAGAAGGCCCCACCCTGATAATGCTGTTTTATTAGCTCGCCTGGCTTAGCCATGTCTGAGCTGCACTCCAATCTATGTTTTGTAATAGAATTGCTGCATGAATCTCAACTTAATTAAATATTGAGTTCATTTTGTTCCTATGGCAGTACCTGCTCGTCCTTTCAAACTGAGTTACGCCACGGAGCCTAAATCCTTAATTGGCTAAATTAATGACTGTCTTTATTTCTTCCGTCTTTCTACTTATTATTAATGTAATCATTAATGTAGGTTCTGACACATAAATTGCTCCAGCGTAGTAATAAATCACATGCATGTGCACAAGCACACGGGAGCTGCAGTCAGTCAGGCTCTGGCTCGGGGCCAAGCAGCAGGTTGCCTCAGCTTGGTGGCTGTTTGAACAGCGATTTAACGCTGGGAGGAAATGCAAGGACTAATCTTCCAGGGCTTTACAAAGGCTGATTAGAGTTATATCATAATGCTGCACAAACACACACACGCTTGTTAATATTTATAGTCCGTGGCTGCTGTGAGTGGTGTTTGTTGGAGTGGTGGCATTTAGCCATGTGTCACAGGGAGGCCAAAACAACGAGCTCATTTCATTTGTTCCTTCCCTTAGCTCCACTTAAGATGAACAATGCGTGCTTGGTGGTTTCTTAAACTTTACAAAATACCTCTACATAGCATGTTTCCATGTGCATGTTTTAATTTTGTGTTCATTCAGTGTTGCAGCAAACCAACATGTTCTAATGTGCAAATAATCATTTATTTCAATCTGTAAAATCACAGTACGTGTAATTCTTAGATTCCTGAGCACATATTTACCCAGAAAAATCCTTATATAGTCTGTAATAATGATACGTAGTTGAGCTGAAGCAATTAGTCAGTGTACTAGAAATCAGTTTTATCTTCTTAATTTGAAGGATTTGTCCATTTTTCTTTTTACTTATGTGACAGTATGTTTTATTCAGAAACATACACTTGGGCTTTAGTGAACTGCAATAGGCATTTCTCAGTATTTTCTGCTGAAAAATATGAATAGATTAAAAAAATATTTAGAAGATGAATCAATAATGAAAATATTTGGTAGCAGCCACAAAAGACACACGTTAAATAGGTAACACACAATATGTCGTTAAATCTGTGTGACAGACGTGTTATCACAAACTAATTCAAAGATTATATCCCTAAAACAATCTAAATATGACCTTAAAAGAACCAAGCAGCTGTTTGAAACCATAAATTGTATGTTGAAAGGCTTGAAGCTGAGGTTTGGCCTTTAGCTGTCTGAAAACTTTTAAGTTCAAGAGGAACAGAAATGTGCTCAGAGAGCATGTCTGAAACACAGCCTCTTCCTTTGTGAAACAACAATCCTGTAACAACAGAGGATATAAAAATATCCTGCGGTAGATGAGGCCTGTTGAGATTTGTAAAAAGAGGAAATTTAAGTGGACAGATCTGATCCTTTGCTACTCCAAGAGAAATGACAGTTCATGCTTTTTATCCACTGCTTCTTAGAATCAATGCAGTTTGTCTTGATTTTGTTCAAGAGAGAACCGGCTCTTTACCAACAGCCTATTTAGCAAAAAAAATCACCGTCTCCTTTGGCCTGATTTGAGGCAAAGGGATGTAAAAGCGACTGCAAGAACAGGAAACCTGAAGATTCCACATTAGTCAGCAAACTTGCACGCTCACGTGCATTGACGCACATGACCTGACTACACAATATGCACATTTCCATGTTGATTGCCTCCATAAAAGCTCTGCCTTACATAAACAGAAACTCATTCAAACCATCCAGCACCAGCATGCTACCTTTAACTGCCTTTTTAGCAAACTTGCAAAAGTCTATCAGAGATTTTACAAGCAAGGAAAGTTAATGTTGAGTCAGCACATGGATGCTTTTTGCCCTCCTAGATGTCAAAGGTCCTGCACTGAAGACCACTTGTGTCATAAAGATGTCACTATAATCAGAGGAGGGGAGGTTCGTTTGGCTTCTTTTCACCTTTTGCCTGCAACTGGCGTTACATAAAGGAGCGCATGTCCTCACAGCTTGGTGCATGTGGTGTCTGTTAAAGGTGAACAAATTTGCATGTTTTCAGTCGAGCACATGTGTCGGCTTATGTAAAGATTAAACAGATGTGAGGACAGTTTGAAGAAAGCAGTGTTATCGGTTTGGGCATGCAAATGGATGGATTTTTCATTTTTGCTCGTTCTGTTGACTTTTATTTTAATAATGATGTTTGCATGCCTGAAAAAGTGAAACAACTCAGTGGTTTAAGAACAAAAGTTAGGGGGAAAAAAATGACGGTTTAGTCGTGAAATGTCAGACAAGCATTAGCAAAGCCCCGAAAGCCACAATGGCATCTTTAAATTGCCTGACTTGTCCGTCTGATAGCCCAAAATCCAAAGAAGTTCAATTTGCAAGCTTATTAAATTACACCAAAATCAACAAATCATCCATGTGACCAAATATTTGCACCCGTTGAATAATCTAACATGGAAGTGAACACTGCTCTGTTGTCCCACTGTCACCGAGCTGAATTAATAGTTGCGTGTTAAATACTATACTTCACTTGACTACAAAGGATCCACGCACACCCACAGTGTGACAGTATCATTCACACCTTTGACTTTTGTACTGTTAAAGGCCACTCAGCCTATCATCCAAGTCTGCTGTGATTGAAAACCTCCAACCTTTGACCCACGATGCTGTTTTATTGGGTTCAAGCACAGTAGACCCAGTGAGCTGAACTTGATTGGAGGCTCCTGACCTCCGACCTCGGCCTTATCAGAGGAGAGTGAACTCTTTCATGTCGGACCTGAACCCCTCCATCTTTTCAGCTCCTGTGTAAACCGCCTGGCACTCTGATGCTCATTGAATATGTCAGGACATTATTCTCCCCCCCCACCTCTGGCGCCGCCTCCCCTTTTGGACTCGTTCACCCTGTTCTTTGTGCTCCATCTCCTCATAACCGCGCTAAGTCAGCATATTACAGGTTCCCGCTTTGCCCGATGGCTTGTCGACTTCATAACTGTCGAAACTCGGTTTGCGCTCTGATTCTTTCACCTCACTGGTGCTCTGATTTGACTCATGACCTCATTTTCTTTCCTGTTCAGTTTGTCTGCCCACAATGCTAATAGTAGAAGCAACCAGCTACAAGTGAATAATGAGATCAGTTTGCTATTTTTATGGCATTTGCTAATTAATCCTTTCCTTTGAAGTTGAATTTCTTCTATTGCTTATTTCACAAAAATTCAAAAGCACCTGGAATCGACATGTACAACATTTTTCCAGGTGCCTGCAGATATTACCCACAGTGTCTTTACATACTACAGATATTTATGTACTCGCATTTTTCATTTGTTTTCATACCACCTGGCCTACAATTAAGTTGAAAAGTCCCAGAAACATGACTGTCGACTGCAGCTGAGTCAAACATGGCAAGCCAGTTGCACCAGAGAGCAGCTTTTTTTTTTTTTTTTTTGACACGGTCTGGTGCAAACCTTTTGTTTTGGGGGAATTTTGAAGTGGGACCAAAAAAAATTGGATTTTGATGAAGTAGACCGATTTTAAGTTTACATTTAAGTAATGTTTCCAATTGAAATACATGCCGGAGAGTTGAAATTCCAGCATTCTTTCTGTTTTTACAGTTTCTAGCTCGGATACATGATGTCGTTTTGGTGATTTTTTAAAAAGATAACGGGTCTTTCAAGGTTTTGGGCTGAATCTAGTGGCCTCGTTTGCTTTTTAGTGTATCATCAGTCTCTCACAGACACTCAGGCTACCACAAAGTACAACAACATCCTACTCAAGCAGAAAGAACAGACGCACATACACAAACTAGGAATATGTGTCAAACTAAAACGGCTATGTGAGTGTGTTTCTTTCTAATTCTCACTACAAATCAAGCTTTAGGGACTATTTTTAAAAGCATATCAAATTGTTTCAATCGTTTTGATGCTTTTCTACACTTCTTCACACAACTATTTGCTCATTTCTTTCCCTGCGATATGATAATCAGTTAGCAGACTCGTGGCGCCTGCTGATGAACACATGATTTGTTGACAGTAAATATGAGGGAGTAACTTGCTGTAACTGTTTCTATTATTACTATTGGCACACTCGGCAACAGTGAGAGTTTTCATTACAGTGAGATTCGGTGCCATCACACTTTCGCTGAAGCCCTCACTACAAACTGTGCTCTCTGACTGTATCTGGCATCAGGAAACTGCTGCAACACATAATCTAGCTTGTTTGCGTATGACCTAAATAGGGTGCAAGTTGATCAGTGGTGGAGGTGCGGTGAGATTAGGGGAGAAGCATGGATAATATTTTGACGTAAATAGGCTTTAAGCAAGATCAGCACCTGGCATGATCCTTACAATTCTAGCAAAGATGAAACAAATATTGATTTTTAAAAGGGGCACTAGACACATTAATGGTCCGATCTGGCAGAGCAGATGCAGAGACATCCTAAATGTGTCTCCCTTTATGGATCTAGCGTCCCACTCTTTCCATAATGAGATCACATTTTTGACTCCCTGCCTGGTAACTTCCTGCAAATTGCAAATCCAGGCTTGTAAACCAGGTTTTCCATTAAAACAACAGAAGTTTCAAGCCTAAGCTGAGATGACCTGGTGCATCACAAGCATCATCCATCATCCAGAACACTACAGCTGTTTCCTTAGGCCGAGTTATCGTTCCCATGACGACTAAACCAATCTTGATATGTGAACGCAACCTCTTCATTTAATCTGTACTGACACCTAACACCTCTCTCCCTTTCTCCCCCTCCGCCAGGCAACATTATCGGCTCAGGTATCTTCGTCAGTCCGAAGGGAGTGATGGAGAACGCCAGCTCCGTGGGAGTGGCGCTGATCGTCTGGATCATCACAGGCATCATCACCGCCATCGGAGCGCTGTGCTACGCTGAGCTGGGCGTCACCATTCCCAAGTCGGGAGGGGACTACTCCTACGTCAAAGACATCTTCGGCGGGTTGGCTGGGTGAGCAAACAGACGAGCTTTCAGGCCCATTTGCATGTAAAGGTGTGGTTTGTTTCAGTAAGCACGCTACCACAGAGGCGGCTGACATATTGCTTTGGAAGAAATGTTTCAGAGAAAGTAGGCGGAAGAGGAAAACACACATAGTACGCTTGTGGTTACTGGGTGAGATGTTCTACGAGTTTGTTGGTTTGCTGTCACGGCAGGACAGGATGCTTTGAGCTCCACTTAGAGTAATTAAAGTTGCTTTAAAGATTTAAAGGACCAAAGCACCATTGTGTGACTTTTCACAGTAACAAATGTTACCTCGAGGCATCCAATCTTAATAAATGGTGGCCTTATGTATAGTTCTTTCTTTTTTTTGACTCCCAGGTCAGTGAGGTTTCAGAAACCCCCTAGTCGACCCTCAGAAGTATTGTTTATTAAGTATATGACCCAGTTTTGGAGAAGAAGGGGCCTCAGAAATGATTAAAGTTAATTTGACAAGGATTTAGGTGAGCATACCGAAATGTCTAGATTCCTCTCTTGATCCCGCTGGATGAGCCAGCTGATGTAGCTCAGACATATTGATCCAAAGCAGGGGGCCTTTAGTTGGTAGTCAAGCACAAAAGTTACATGTAATTAACCCTCTGAACACCGAAACTTGCTCACAGGTTTGAAAGGCATGTTTTCTTTGAGTAAATATTGAAATTTATTTGAGGCAAAAACTTTTCCGTAATGTATCATCAGTGACTATCAGGAAAAATGACCAAAATAAAGGCAAAATCTCAGTGTCTACATGTCATCTAAAAATTCACAGAAAATACATTTAACGCATTAAACAGAATCTGTAAAAAAATAAAAATTCTGTGCTCCGTACTGCAACTGAAAAGTTATGAGTGATTCTGGCGGGACCAAGAGTCATGTGACAAAAAATCTGGGAGTTTTCACATAAGCTGTTCTTACACAGAGTGAAGATGAATAAAAAATATGGAAAGTACAGCACACTTGATCAATTAAATAAGAGCAGCATGGTTCAAAATTGGTTTACAGAGGAGCAAGTTGTTGGAAGACACATTCTACATGGTGACATATCTGTCTAGAGTTGATGTGCAGGATAGTAAAAACACATGAGTTTACAGAGGTTGTAAAACATATAAATAGTTAAATAGCCCTTCTTTAACATGTGCAGCCCCATTTCTCTCTACTTTTAGCCATGCTTGTGCTGTTTCCACAGAGGTGTGTGAGCTTATATTGTACTGAAAAATGAGCCCACTGTGACTCAAGATGTGACAAGACCAAAAAACCCCAAGATGCTGCCTGTGGTTCAGGGGCTGACGAGATATTAAACCAGCAGATGCAAATATGTAGATAGGAGTTTCAGGGTGACTCACACAGTGCCAACCGTCACATTTCTGTGGGGTTTTCCCGCTTTCATTGACTGGTTTTGAATTGACTTTCAGCCCATAGCCCCTGTCCGTGCATCCATATATGGTTGGCTTTAGGGTGACAGTGCTTACAGTAAAAGCTTGGGAACCATGCGAAGTTAATTTCCTAGTCAAACAATATCGTTTGTTAGCGTAGATTTCACACACACTGTGACCATTGTTTTTTCAACTATCAAAAGGATGCATATTATCGGGGTATTCTGGGAGAGGAATTCAACCAGACAAAACAGCCAATGATTGTTTTTCTCTCTTTGTACAGTAACTATCTATACACATCAATGAGCTCTGACCTCCAGGGATTTTTGTACTCCATGGTTTCAGATGCTCAGTTTGAAGCGTCGGGGGCCACACTGTTTCCCTGTGCCCTCTGCCGAGCACAAATAAACCACGTTCAAGGGGTGTTTGTTTTTGTTGTCCGGCTCCTTTTGTCCCGCATGTGGTGTGCATGTAGGCGGAGTTGTGTTTGCATGTGCTTATACGCCAATAACTTTAGCGGCGGAAACACTTACATCACCTCGGCTGGACGAAGGCGAGCTCGTAGAAAAGGAGGAGAGCTCGTCAAGTCGTACGCTTAAACGGTTTCAGGTACAAAGAGTCTTTGTTGTGTCAAGACCGATGAGGGTTGTGTTACACCCAGGATGTCCCCGATATAGACGACTGTAGGTGCGACAGGTTGAAGGGAGCGACTGCATTAAGTTTATTCTCGTTGGAATGTGTAGAATATCCTGAGTTTGTCCATGATTTCCATCCTTAGTCTGCTGCTGATGTGTCTATGTTATACTGAATGCCACTAGTGTGTGTCTACCATTGATGAAAGATGTATTCAGATCCTTTATCCAAGTAAAAGTAGAAGATTGATCTATTAGTCTCCATAGAATTGCTTCTGTAACTCAGTTTCTCTAAGTAAATGATCTTCCAATTGCTTTCTGGAGAAAATAAACATGTCATTTAGAGTTTTAGGGAGTTGTGAAAGCTGTTTTAACTGTTTTCTCACACTTTACAGACCTTCTCATCACCTGATTATTTTATAAAAACAGAATAATTATTAGAGATAGGCATAAAAAGTAGTAATATATCCTCTCGTAGTATTTGTAAGTCATGTAAAATAAAGCATGCATTATGCAGAAGGGGCCCTTCAGAGTGTTTTCAATTATTCATACATTAATCGGCGTGCTACATTTGAATGTTGTAACTGACCCCTGGAGTTTTATTTCATTTGTTTAATGTATAGCTGAGCATCATATGATCTTTCAGCATGTGAAACCCAATCTGCAAGGCTGCTTAGTGAAGCTAAAAGTTCAATAATTACCATTGGAAATGTCGTGGAGGAGGAGAACTGTAAAGCTGTACAGGCAAAACATCAAATCTAGGGCAACGGCCTCCAAAAGTGCATTCACGTGCGCAGCTAGAGGGTCAAATCAGCGTTTGAACCGACATATTTTTACATGAAACACACACATTCCAGTGAGTCCCAGTCCTGTTAATGCAGTCAAGTGTAATGATCCCTTTATAAGCTTTCAGAGAATGTCATGGTTGTACCACATGCCTGGTCCGTCCTACTGCTAAACCCCGCAGCTCATTTCATCTCAACACCCCATTATTAATCTGTTTCTGCATCCTGGAGCGCATCCTGTCAGCATCACACTCAGGGAACATGTCCAGTGTTTGCTTCCTTTGTATTTTTTCTCTAAGTTTTTTCGTTTTTTTACTGCTTTTCTGGTTTCTTCTGTGAACGAATGATCATTTCTCCACGGAAAAGGTCCCACTTACTGAGAAAATGACAAGTATTGTAGCTGGAAAAACACAACAGATGGTGACTCAAACAACAGCTACTTTAGCAGACTAGATGAGTCACCTCAGTTAAATCAGCTGCAAAACAGAAATCTGATTTGTTTTATAGGGAAGCTTTAAACTGCACAGACATTTCTCTCTGCACTGACAAATAAAAGAAGAAAAAAAAAGAGGGGAAATCTCAGCTGCGTGTATCCGAACATCAAAGCAGGTCCGAAGCAGAAATGATAGTATGTTAGTCTAACCAGCATGGGCTTCCCCCTTTGCTTTGTTCTGAGCGCTGCACTGCAAGCAATTATTATTTGTATTCGTCTGTCCACTTCTCTCATTTTTTTTCTATTAGAGTTTATTTTTTTTAGCCTGTTCAACCTCAGAATAGCAAAAGAGCCCATTCATGATTTCCCAGAACTGAGGTGACATCTTTAAATAGCTTGTTTTTTTAGTAAAAAAGTACAATGATATTCAATATAAAACAGAAGATCCATATTTGAGAGGCTGAGGCCGGCGCATGTTTGGGATTTTACTGGATAAATGACTCAAAACATCAACAATTGCAAAGAGTTTATACGTCATCAATCCAAAATGAGTCAGATTTTTCTTGTAGGACATTACAAAAGTTGTATTACTGTCAGATGACAGTAGATTGGGTCATATTATGAGAACCGTAGGAGGAAATAGAGGTTACGCTTCATCTCAAATGACCTACTTTGTGTGTGAGCCAAGTGTACCTCTGCTGTAACCGTGCCACCCTCCCTCCATTTTTACCTCAGGTTCCTGCGACTGTGGATCGCTGTGCTGGTCATCTACCCGACCAACCAGGCCGTGATCGCGCTGACGTTCTCCAACTACGTCCTCCAGCCTCTGTTCCCCACCTGCTTCCCACCAGAGAACGGCCTGCGTCTGCTGGCTGCCGTTTGTCTCTGTGAGTAACACACATGTGAGCAAATCCTTAGACACAAACGTAAAGTCACGGACATGTTTTTAATGTTTGTTAATGCAGAAAACACCTCAAACTTCGGAAATATTTCACTCATGGTTCACTAAGGAAGTTATTAACGTCTTGATGTAACACTTTAAAAACACTCGGACTGTTTTTGTAGCTCATGAAAGGTTTTACTGGACAGCTAGAGTGTGCCTATGTTTTTCGAACAGCTCAACCAAAACCTGCTGCTCCCTGCTCTTCACTCCGTCCACCCCTTTTTTTATATGCAGCATTGGCCTATTTGGCAAACCCAAATGGAAAAGCTCATAACAGAAGAATTCTCAGGCCAAAATGCATGAATGAGATTTCATTTAAAAGTCCACACCTTCTAGTTTCTGTAAATGTGCACGGGGATAAAACACAACCTAAACTGCATCAACTCATGTGGTGTGCAGTAAAACTAAAAATTTACGTTTTCGTCAACCATTTTCAAAGGTGTTATAGATACTGGGGAAAATAGTGACGCTACACACTATAGAAATGTATTTACTACTACAAGGAGTGCAAAAGTTTTAGTATTTTTCAGAATCTGGCTCAAGCAAAGTCTTTGTTTTTGGCGAATTGTTGAATGAAACATGTAGACTAAAAGGGATTTTCAGGAAATATCACTATTTTAAGCTTAGATTTCCAGATGGAAGCGCCATTTTATACTTGATTAGTTCGAGGATTGTCATTTTTCTCTGTTTTTGCGGTTCTGGTAAATGTTTTTTTTGGGGGGGTTCAGACCTGGTGGATGTCAAGTATAGCAAGACAACAGAGATATCACTTGCAACTAGACTCAATGTTGATCACGCAGAGAAAAAAGAACAGAGATAGCTTGAAGAAATACTCCAAAAAGGACATGAAGTTCTTTCTGAGCGAGCTTGTTGGGACGGGTTCAGATCAGTGCTGTGAAATTATTCAAAAAAACGTGGGAAACAGTGGAATTCACCAAAATCAGTTCAGTGTGAAAATGTGGGTTAAATCACACTTTGGTTACAGTTACATCATCTAATCAAAGCTGTTTACGACTCGCTGACTGATTGAATGATGGCTTCATTCATGTGGTTTATTTTGATCTCCGTCCCGGGTTTGTCTCCTTGTTTTCCAAAACTCTCGTGTTATTTAACCCTCAGTTCGAGGTCGTCTAAGAAAAGAAGAGCAAAACAGAGGCCGGCAAGGAGCTGGCGGAAGACGAATTGAAGTGTGTTGGTGCTGACATCGCAGCGGTCGACCCAACAAAGTTCACACAAAGTGGTCAAATACTGCAGGCAGCCTTCAGACACAAAGACAGACAGACGTGGACAGTGGAGAAGAGTGTGTTACTATGTGTTGTACAAGGCAGCTCTCTGTCTACAACCTGATCTGACCTGCCAAATTAACGCTTGAAGACTCTGGTTTTATCTTGAGCTGTGGTCAAACTCAAGCAACTCTGGCGATATTTAGACAGTAGCACTGACTGCAGATGTTAATGCTAGTCAATTTAAACTCCTTTTTGCTCGTTCCTCCAACAGTTTAGCAAAATTACTGAAAAAAAAACAAGTGAAACTGGAAAGACTGGAGCTGTCGATCTCACACAAGCACAGCTCAGAATGATAGATGCCAGCTGTCACTTAGTGTTCAAAGGGAAAGGTCAAACTTTTTCTTTTCTTTTTCTCTTAAACTGATCTTCGAAGAACACTTGTGGGCCGATGAGATCACCTCGTTGCCCTGTTTAGCCTCAAAATGCAGAAACCTCCCGTTGCGACGGCTTGCACAACAACATACACGTTTTTTCTCGCAGATGGAAGAGATCCACCATGTAACTGCCAAGTTAGCCGTCATTCAGAATAAACATTGCAGTTTTTGCTTGGAGGTGTTTGCACCAAATGAGGAACAGCTGAGCTCTTCCAACAGTAACGTACCAAATTCGGGAATATAAAGACAAAATTTGCCAGAGGAGGTTTGAAAAAAAATAAATAGATTAGTCTAAGTGGAGAGATTTAAGGCTTCATTTTAGAGCATCATTCGCTAACTTTCTACCAGTTGTTACGTTCCGAAATAATCTGGCGCGATACCTGAGAACATAATCTCTTCGGAGGCGATAATGAGATCCCCACTTTTGGATTTTTGACACATTGACCTACATTTATCTGACTGTCTCTCTCCATTTGCGAGAATGCCTTGAAGCCAAATGTGCTAAGTTTTGACAAGTCGTTCTGTTGCCCAACTCTGCTTCTTGCTTGTCGATTGGACAGATGTTGTCAGGCAGCTTTCAGCAAGAAAAAAAGAAAAGAAAAAGCGTCTTGTTTGTGGATGTTTTATCCCTGATTTGCTGTTGTTGTTCAGGGAGAAAAGTGGGTGAGAGGTTAGCTGTTTCCCTTCAACGCTGATGTCATTCTTGTTTACAAGGGCAGCGTGTTTTTTTGTGTTTGTGTGATTCTGAGTTTGTTATTTCCCTCATGCGGGTTGTCATGTGTGAATTTTGCTGGACATAACTAGGTACAACTAGGTTCAGTGACTGTCAAACCAGATGCCACCAGTCTCGGGCCAGTTTGGTAATGTCACCCTGCAGGGAGACGAAAGGCTTTTTAGGGTGTAGCCTTTCAAAAACATGCGGTGGAGATTCTCCCTGGGGTCCGTCTGTTCCTACAGATGGCAGAATGCGAGGTCATAACTCTGTCATGTTTTCCAACAGGCAACTCAGCAAGTTTCCACACACACACACACACACACACACAGGCCTATACGACACACACATTTTGTATACTCAGCTTACAGTCAGCTGAGCCGTCCCCCACAGCTCCGTGCTTTTGGAGAACGTGTCCTCCGGTGTTTATCTGCAGGCCGTCAATCAACCACAGAAGAGCAGGACGGGACACATGTGTTGTTACTGTAATGCGGTGAGGTGGCAAAAGATCATCCTGTTCCTAAAACAAGTCTGTTTACCAGCGGTTCGGATTAAGAGGTGTATTTACTCGAGGCTGCATGAGAGTCAGTCAGTGGTGTTTTGGTTCATTGTGCTTGTGTGTACAGCGCACAAATTGTGTCATGAGTGAATCTGCGTGCGTAGTCGTTTCCTGTGTTTGGTGGAGGGAGTAGCAGCTGCAGCTCCCCCTCACTACTGCTGTCAGCTAAAGAGGAAAAACCCCACGCAGTTTAAGTTTCCCCACTTTCTGCCATTCACCTAAACTCCTCCACCACAAACACAACGAGTCTACAAACCCCCTTTGTACGCCTATTTGTTCACGATTCATTCAGTATCAGTGCAGATCCATGCATGTCTGTGCATGTACATCTGCGTTCGCTCCCCGCAGTGGCAGCTCAGAGTTATTTAATGTGATGAACTTAATCCCACGGAGTCAAACAGGACTCTTATTTAATGGCACCCTATTGGCCTGAACCCGCTGGCCCGTTGTACTCAGCAGCACAGATCAAATCCATTATCTTCGTTATGTCAGCATCAGGTTGAATTGAGTTGAACAGCATTTCGAAACACTTCCTCAGGCTTTTTTTCATACCTCATTGGAGTCACTAAAGCATTAAATAATCCCGACGAACAACATCGATCTGCTTCTATCGCTGCGAAAGCATTCAAACCTGCAAGTGTGGAAAGATTGTCTGCATGTATCTTAAACCAAATCAGCACTCTGACATTAAATTAACAAAAATCAGCCAATCTACAAACTTTAAAATCCCAATTTATCATCTAAATTGCAACAAACATGCATGATATTGTACTACATAACAATGCATGTGTATAAAAGTTAACGCATTACCAGGAACCTGTCATATCACATCACAGCCCTTCCAAAGAAAACACAACTACCGCATGTATGATATGAGGTGCGACAGATAACGGGTGAAGTTCAGTGTGATGATGCAGTAGCAGGACCAAAGGTCGCCGCGTCAGACGGGAAGACACGTCGCATTTGTTCGAATGTGCAGCTTTTAATCTGCCTCCATGCACATCGGTTTACTCTGATGGTAACCGGTTTCATAACTTATTCTTCTATTCTTGGGCAATAATCGGAGCACCACGACTACAAACAATGGCAGGGACAGTTCAAAGACAGTTCCAAGAAAGAGCAATAAAATAATTAACGCCGAAACACATTTTTTTTTCCCCTTGACCTTTCTCAGATCAGTCTCACTTTGTGCAGCCGAACATTATTTTTAAAAGTGGTGCATCCGCAATGTGCAGGTTTAATGTGTGTGCTTGTTAAAGAAGCAGCTGAAGTTTCATTGCAAGGACGACACAAGGCAAGAATTTCTGTTCTGTTGGAGCTCACTGTAAGAAGGCCAGATATCTGAAACTGGAATGTAGGAAGTACAGCTGGGAGGCCCACTGTAAACCCAGTGAGGTGGGCTGCAGAGGCTTTGCAGGACAATTTCTACACATCAGACACTCAGTTTCATTTAGAGGGTTCCAAGAAAGAGGAGAAACCATCAGTTAAGCTGCAGAAAAAAAGCGTATAAGGGGCTGTGGACGGAGGGGTGAGCTGGGGACTGATCTAAAACACCCTGTGAGCGCTCATGACTGATGATGTGTCCAAGTCACACCGTGGAGTAAAAGACTGATTTAACCACGTCAGACAGCGTGGATGATTTCTACCAACCTTAAAGCCATTTAAGGGTAAACAATGAGGGACAAAATGACATTATTGCTGTAAAATAAGCACTAACTCTGTGTTTTACTGTGCTTCTGTTTAGTGCTGCTCACATGGGTGAATTGCTCCAGCGTGAGGTGGGCCACCAGGGTGCAGGACATCTTCACCGCCGGCAAGCTGCTGGCCCTCGCCCTCATCATCATCATGGGCATCGTGCAGATCTGCAAGGGTAAGCTGACCGCCGCCATCTGTGCATCCCAGAATGCAGAGTATTCCACCTGGTGTTTTCTCTGCCTGTGTGTAAAAAGAAAAATGACACACACACACAGTCGCGGTCAGTGGGGACACGTTCAGTGATTCGGGACTGTATAGGCTCCACATGGACGCCACAGGGGTCAGCGAGTTGCTGGGGCCCTTTATGGTTAAAACTCACATCGCTAATATCAGCACGCCTGTGGGGGTTTGCAGCGCAAACAGGACAGAGGGTCAGTTATTACAGGGGCCGCAAAGAGACAACAAAATGGGGATTTGAGCGCAAGTGTTTGAAGATAATGAAGAGTGGGATCTGATGGGAGACCTGAGGTTATATATGAGGGACAGTGTGTAGGACAGAGGAAGGGATTTGGAGAAAAATTTAAAGAGAACGGAGAAAACAAAACAACGAAGATCCGTCAAGGAGTTTTACCCCAAATTAGATTATTTCTCAGGGGATTTCACTTGCCAGGTATTTAGCACAATGTCTTTCACAACTTGTTTCACACATGCTGATTTCATTAGATGATAGTTTTCAGATGGGTTTCCTCACAGACTCCAGTTTGTTTACCCCCTCAGCAAAAACAGCAAACCAGAGTTAAATAATCACGAGGACCTGACCTCAGAAAGAAATTTACGAAAGGAACACAGACGAACAGAAAACAGAGAGAGAGACAGGGAACTTGTGGATAAAAAGAAATGACAATATAATGCAAAATAAATGTTGACTGCTAAAGATGTTGCCTCTTTTTTTTTTTTTTTTTTTGAATCATCCACCTGTAGGAGAGTACTACTGGCTGGAGCCTGCCAATGCATTTGAGCCCTTCCAGGACTATGATGTGGGTTTGATAGCTTTAGCTTTTCTACAAGGCTCCTTCGCTTACGGAGGCTGGAACTTCCTGAACTACGTCACAGAAGAGCTGGTGGATCCTTATGTGTAAGACACTCATACACCCATAAACATTCATTTGCTGTGTTAAGAAACCCCACACACACAAATCACCACAGAAATCTAGCTGATTTCCAAGCAGCCAGTAGCTGTTTTAGTGATTAGTAGTCACATACCAACTCGGCTTCCCAGTTTAATCCTTGATCCTTTTTGTTAAAGCGCTCTGAAATTAATTTCGCTGTCATTCCCGGTGTCTGATCTAGAATAATGTCTCCGAGTATAAAATGGTTTATTTCTTCATTTCCTGTGTGATCTCTGTCTATTTCTTTTAAACAATCCTGTATTTTTTAATAACTTTTTTCCGTTAATATTCCTCCCGTCAGATACCGTTTTTAATTTCCTACTTTAAATCCTTCTCTATCTCCCGTTCTTTAGCGTTCTCCCACCATTCTATCAACTAAATATTGTGTTGTGTCGTCTCCAGGAACCTTCCTCGTGCCATCTTCATCTCCATCCCCCTCGTGACCTTCGTTTACGTCTTCGCCAACATCGCCTACGTCACGGCCATGAGTCCTCAGGAGCTGCTCGCCTCAAACGCCGTTGCCGTGGTGAGTGGTCCCGTGGCTTCTATCAACCGCACGGCGATGATATTTTGAATGACTGCCGCCCTCTGCTGGTCTTTGCTGGTTAATGCAATATTCCAAAGTGTTTCTACATTTTTGTACCTCGTTCTAAAAAGGGGCTTGATCAAGCAGGCAGCTAACAATGTGTAAGTGTCCATTCTTTTCATCCCATCTCTAATCTCCGTCCTCGCATTCCTCCATCGCAGACGTTTGGTGAGAAGCTGCTGGGAGTCATGTCGTGGATCATGCCCATCTCCGTGGCTCTGTCCACCTTCGGAGGTGTCAACGGTTCCCTCTTCACGTCTTCACGGTTAGTTGGCTTGATGATATGCAAGCTGGACTGAAAAAATAACACGATGTGGCTCTGAGACATGCACAAAAAACTGATTTATAATTTATCTCATGAAAAGATTATGTGCCCAGTTGTTATTTTGCATCTAGAGGGAACTTTTTCCATAAATATACCACAAATTGTGACCCTGAATATGTGATGTCCTGCCTCTAACATCCCACTTTTTGCATGATTTGCCTCTCTGATCTATTAAATAAACCCCTGAAAAATAGCCACAGACAGATAAAACTGATTTTTTTTCCCTCTCTCTCATCCTCATCCATTCTCTCATCATGGTTTCTGGATGGTCTGACTTCTCTCTACATGTTAACTGAGCAATGTGTTCATTGCATCTCTGCAGACTGTTCTTTGCTGGAGCCAGAGAGGGCCACCTCCCCAGTCTGCTGGCCATGATTCATGTCAAACGCTGCACCCCCATCCCTGCTCTGCTCTTCACTGTGAGTACTGCTCTCACCACCTGCACAGCACAACGGAAAGCAACCCAGTCAAAGCCGACCACCATCTCTGACTGCTCTCTCTTTATCTCGTCCCTCAGTGTCTGTCCACCCTGCTGATGCTGTGCACCAGCGACATGTACACGCTCATCAATTACGTGGGCTTCATCAACTACCTCTTCTACGGAGTGACCGTCGCCGGGCAGATCGTCCTGCGGTTTAAACAGCCCAACATACACCGACCGATCAAGGTGCGTTCATGTGCTGTTTTAGATTCGTTTATAGTGTATTTTGCACTTCATCAAGGGATAAAAGAGGATTACTCAATTCAAAGGAGGATATATATGAAGCTACATACAGAATGCCTTTCATATTCCTGCTAGATGGTCTAAATTTGATTGATTTAGCTGCACTTTGAGAACAGAAAATTTTAGATTGTCAAACAGTAACATGAAGTAGCACACTGGATGTAAGGATTCCTGAAAGACAACAAAAAGTTCAGGAGTACAAGAAAGAAAACGCACCTTATTTTTCCAGAAATTGTGTGTTGCTTTGAAAAGAGTGTCCTCAGTACGCTAGTTTCAAGTTGTTAAAAGCAGAATTTACCACTAATGTCTGATATCTTCTGATATCTGAAGGTTAATGTGTTTTTTAGCTACTACTTAAACTTTTTTTTATGCACTGATCAGTTTTGAGATATTTTATTTCCACATTGTCTTCTCAAAAAACACATTTAAATATTTATTTTACTATACTTTGCCTATTTACATTCACAGATTTCCATTGCTACATATCAGCAAAGGCGGTTTTTCTCCAAATATATTTTTCTTTCTGCTCTGAGCCAAAAATCTCATTCAAAGCCTGATTTACAAAACATTTCATTCATAAAAACACAGCAAAAAAATATTTGTTTTCTGACTGTTGCTAATATTTTCTGAAAAATATAAAACTTTGACTCTAATATGTCACCAAATGAAACAAATGTTTTAAAACTGGCTTCATGCAGTGTTTTTTTGAAAGTCACTGATAAAGTGCACTAATACTGATTTTAAGAAGTGAGACTTCACACTGCCCTCTAGTGGTGGGAAGAGTGTAATATCACATACTGGGTGCACAGGCAAGAATAAAGATAATCAGCATTAGTGGTAGATTTGATTGAAGCATTTTCAAAACTATATACAGTATACTTAGAGTCTGGTGTAACATTCAAATGTATGTTAAAATCACCCAAATTCTGTCAAAGCTGCTGTTAGAATGAATTTGCATTTCAGTTCATCTGCATGATTCAAAAGAGAATCAAATTACACAAGTGTAATAATAAGTCTGTTTTTCTTCCTCTCTTCCAGGTCAGCCTGATCTGGCCGGTCATTTACCTCATCTTCTGGGCCTTCCTGCTCATCTTCTCCCTCTACTCTGAGCCCGTGGTGTGTGGCATCGGCCTCGCCATCATGCTCACCGGCGTCCCCGTCTATTTCCTGGGAGTCTACTGGGACAACAAGCCGCAGTGCTTCGACGCCTTTGTTGGTAAGTTTTGCTTATTGCGGGCAAGTTTTCTCTGTCGGGGCTTAAGCGGTTCACATTTTTAGCTCGACAAATTCATCATATCTCAGGAAAGTCTAGGCCAGGGGTGTCCAATCCTGGTCCTCGAGGGCCACAATCCTGCATGTTTCCAACACACCTGATTCAAATGATCAGGATCGTTATCAGGCTCCTGCAGAGCTTGCTGATGAGCTGATTAGTGAATTGCATTAACTTCAAGAACAGAGCAGAAATCTGAACACTGGATACTGTCAACATTCAGAAAATGTTTCTAGGAATAAAATTACAGAGGTTACAAATGATGTATGAAAAACCTCTCTGCCAAAACCTTGAGAATAGATATAGGAATAAAAAAATGTACAGTTTGGTTTAAGTAAGTACTGATTTCTGTGCCATTTTAAGTCCCTTATTATGAAAGTTTTAGGCTAAGAAACTGTATTCTCATGTGCTGACCTCTTTGACCAAGTTAGCCTCTTAAGGATGCAAAATACATCTCAGTGTGAGGTGACAATAAAGTGGAGTTTACAGTCATTTGAGACACATGATACACATTATAATTGATGCAAACAGACAAAGTTTAGTAAAATAAACACCTTAATGTGTATTTTGGACATTTGTTTTAAACGTTAGTCTGAAAGAAAATATGTTATGGAAGCAAAATACCCTAAAATCTCACAATTGCCAGTGACCAACTGACCAAGTTGAATAAAAATGGTGAAATATTCCTATAAAATAAAATATTTACCAAATACATTCTCCTTATTTAGTCTGTTAATCTTGCAAGTTCATTGATTTAACTGAAATTTTACAATGCCACTTCTCCAAGTACAAACATTTATTTATTTTTTTACACACACGATCATCACCTGTGTCTGAATCCGTCCCGTCTCTTTTCTTCCAGATAAAATGACCTACTTGGGCCAGAAGTTCTGTGTAGTTGTTTATCCAGCTGAAAGCAGCAGCAGCGGGAGCGGAGAGGAAGGAGAGGAAATGAAGGAGGCCATGTCTCCTCTGTCGAAGGAGGACGGAGACAACCACAAGTCAGCAGACTGCTAGAGCGCACCTTTTCTTTTTTTTCTTTTTTTTTTAAAACTCTCACCTGCCCCCGAAATAGACACACGTGGGCGTACACACCACAGTTTAGAGTGGATTTACTGATCAACACACGTGCCCTCACGCTACGTCTGAGATTTTTAGTGTCGTATCAATCAATATTTTCTGTGCCAAATATAGTAAGAAGTGTTTAAAGTAACATGACCCCGATCTTTTCTATCTGGGGTCCTGCAACAGTGCAATAAAGAAAGGTTAGCACCTTCCAGCTCCTCATTACAGACATTTAACCACCTATTTCAGCATCATCAGCCTACTTTACATCCTCCCTCTCCCGTTCCACACACTGTCTGCGTACTCCCCCCCCCGTCAGCGTGACATTTTTTTAAGATTTTTTTTTTTATTATCAAAAGACTCTACCTGTACTGTGACCCAAAACTTGTTTTGTTCTTCTTCTTTTTGTTAATTTTGCTTTGTCATTCTTTCAACACACCAAAGCTGCATTTTGATTGTCAAAGCAAGAAAATCACATTCAGATCAAGTCATTTCATGCCGTGAAGTCGTACACTAATGCTGTTTTTCAAGGCGACTGTAATTCTGAAATGTTTCTCTCTTTTATTTTTTGTAATTGTGATAATTGCGTATATCATTTGTTGTTGTTTATTGTTTAGTTTTAATATGTTAATTTTAGTGTTGTTGATAGTCTTTTTTTTTTTTTTCTAACAACATATTCATCTGGGCCTGTTTTTTTTTTTTTTTTTTACTACGGATGTGTAACACCTGAAAGCTGGTTTGAGATCTGTACTTTGTCTCGGTAAATGTGCTTGTAAATGGTGCAGTTTTTTTGAATTGCCTTAATTAGAATACATTCTGTGCTTTAGTGCCATTACAGCTGTGTTTTGGCGGATGTGGTGAGTTGGTCAATCCTCTTACTTTTTCATTTTTATCAAAAAAAAAGTTTAAAAAAAAACCAAAAAAAAAAGTGACACTACACAAATAATGAACCCGTTAAACATGCGGCCCAGCGTGGGCCCAATCAGATAGGCAAGTCGTGACACTTTTGAACCACCGCATTTGTTTTCGTGCAAATCCCGACACCGACACATGTGAATGCCTGTGTGAGAAGCAGTTTTTTGTTTTTTTAAAAATAAAGGCATTGATTGTCTTTCATGTCTTAGGGTGAAAATATTTTTGTAGCTTTACCATCTAAATCATTTTTTGTGCTTTATTTAGGCTGTAGAAATAAGAACTTTACATAAAAGAACTATTTTTTTGATTCATACAGTTAACTAGAAGACATTAGTGCAATATTACTGCAGGCACCAGCGAAAAAAACTAAACATGCACCCAACTCATTACGCTTGTTAGTAGCTATGCATCTATACTTACGCTGTATATTCTAGTAACAACATTCATGCACACATCATGTAATCTTCAGTTTTTCTATTCTCTCTTAGTGTCTCAGGGCATCCCCACTGCCTTCTCCTTATATACACTGCCTAAAACCTCCAGACCGTGAAAACTCAACACATCTGACTGATTGCCTCTTTGAAATCTAAGTTTATTAGTGCTAAATGTCTGTACTGGTGCTTTTAGATATTTATTCCTCAGGAGTCTCGATCTTACAAGAGGATGACAGGTTTTCAATGATTCAAAAAAAAAAAAAGAATCTAATTATCAATATAGTTGGGCCAGTATTGTGTAGATTGTTGAACTGTAAGGGGAACAGGGTGTCTTGGATGTCTTTTACAAGTACAATGATGTGTTTTGTGCCCGTTATTGTGCATTTACAGTGTACACCAATGTCATGACAGTCTGTATATTGTCTCTCAGTAAATAAAAACCACTGACTAATGTTTGAATTTGTAATCCAAGGCCTCATTTATATTACAAAAAGTATATTGACGTAGAGTAATTTCAAAGAATGTCACTGAAGTTTTGTTACATCCATAATAAGAAGACATCTCCCTTGATTTTGATACACAACACACACGTTTTGGATCCCACATTTCCCATAAATGAGGCCTGAAAACTTTTCCACCTCAGAAATCAAATGTGTGCAGGCTTCAGTTGGAAGTTTAATCTGCAGTATTTACAGCTTAGAATCTGTGTAAAGAACGCACAACACTACAGATTTTTCTACTTTCTTGCTGCTCAGCTTTCCCTAATTAGCTCTTGCTTAAAAATTAAAGTGACACAAGCCTTCATGTGATGGAAATGCTAGGTTTGATGCAAATCTTTTCTGAGCAATACCAGGACACACTGTGATTCGAATCATTTTGTGCAAACGTTGCTCTACTTTAATAGTGTTTGCAGTCTACCCACCGTCATGAGACATCTCTCTCAAACTTGTGTTTAAAATGTAAATGTACATATTGGTGGTGAGCGTGTGGCGAGAATAAAAAAAAAAACATACATAAGAGAAGAAGAGTTTTCATGTCTCCTTTGTTTAACTTTCAGAGCATTTATGGGAAACACAACAAGCGTTTTCATCATTAGGTTTATTCTGCTGACAAACTCATCCACAGCATCGATCAGTTTCACACAGTTCTGCACACTGAGGGGAGGGGAGAGGGGGGCAATAAGGGAGCTGACACAGCAATCCCAAAGTAAACATAGCTTCTTTGACTATAACAACAGGCTAAACAATATCCATGTAAACTGAAGCCACTGTTCTCGCAACAGTGAAGAATGCAATCAGCACGAAAAGGAATTATTCTTAACAAATGAAATTAACCATCATCCGACCCAGTATGAAGCCGGTGTAAAAAAAAACTATGTGCTCCATGATTTAGTTCTCCTGACACACAAAGATCACAAAGCATGTTCTTTACCGATTCTTTTCCGTTTTACAGGAGTAGTTTGACATTTTAGGAAATACATAAGTTTGATTTCTTTTGTGGAGTTTGACAGGAAGGTCTGTAACCTCTCATACAGGTCTGCTCAACACAGCGTTAAGGCTACAGCCAGCAGCCGGTTAGGTTCGCACAAAGACTGAAAAAAGCTCAACTGGCACTTCCCCTACAAAGGGCTCCACAGCTCACAATTCAACACATTATAACTGGATCATCTGGTTTGTTGAGGAGTACAAAATCCAACAATTCACAGGTAAACAACAATTCATTGTGGGTTATGTACAAGATTGTTGGTTGCAGCCTGGAGTCCAGAAATAGACACATTTCTGTTTTAAATGTTGTTTTTTTGTACAGATGAAGTAAACATGAAATAACGTGTTAATCTGTGAGCTTTAGAGGTGCCGCTGGGTGAATTGAGTCACCGTCAGGAGGCTGCTTCCAGTCTTTTTGCTGAGTTGTGTTAACCGGCTGATGACTGTTAACATACATTTGAACAGGCAGACAGCAAAGTCGTATTAATCTTCTCATCTGAAAAGTGCTTTTCTCAAAACGTGGACTTTTAAATATGCTGCTATCCACCTCTAACAAATCTACACGAGCTACATCAGTGCTTCACAAGAGAGAATGACTTTTCAGACGCTGACACACCCGGCAGCTTTAGGTGATTACACAACATTAGTTGGGGCAAAATGTGGAGAATGAAACATGTTCGTACATGTTTTTGCACAAAAAATAAAGTTTGTGTCAACTTTCAGGGATGGGTTTCTCTGAAGCAGCTTTAAACTACAGTTACCTCTGTTTTATCATCACTGGAACAAAGATAAATAACCTCTGTGAAACTCTGAAGACACAAGAAAGGCTTAAACAGTTTAGTTTTCTGTAGCAGCCAAATTAGCTCTGGGTTGAGATTGAAGATTTTGAGTATTCTTTTCTGCCAATGCAGCTCTAACATGTGGAGTGCCTCAACATGGCAATATTACAGTGGGGAGAGTGTTTCCAGCCGACAGACTTTTGGGCTGAAGGGAAGTGTCTGCCACAGTAAAACTTGATCTAATTATTTCTACCAGTGGTTCTGTGTTGCCTACAATCCCACCTGGTGTTTCCGCAACCGGTGGCTGTGTCTTCAGTGTACTTGCTTAGTGTAGGCATCGCAACAGCTAAGGCAATGTTTTGGAGTGCCGGCTACAGTGCAGGTTCAGAGGAGAAGCTTCTGGGATGGTAGAGCACACGTCCTCCTCTCAGGGCAAGCACCAGGTGAAGAACAGAGCCTCCCTGGATTTTATAGTCTGCTGCTGTTTTCTCATCGTTCCTGAGGATCAAGGAGAGGCACGTTAGAGCAGAAGATATTAGATCAGCAGCTTCTATTAAAAGACAAACTCTCCAGTGTATTGGGCCATCTGTCAGTCGAGCTGTCACGCTTATGTTTGAGTCATGAGTTTGCAGCTTGTTTCCTGTCCCACTGAGTTCAGTTGTTAGTCAGCGGAGTCTTCCATGTGAAACTGGCAGGTGAGCTCCTGCAAGCTTATGACATGTAAGTTCTGGACTGGTCCAAGACGACTAATGGAAAGGCAGGCATGCCAGGATGAATACTTAAAATTAGACTGGAACAATGTACTGTTTGGATTTTGTATAATGCATGCTACAAAAATAAAAATCTTCAGTCAACAGACTTTGTAAAAGAAAAACTGGCGAGTGACGGTTGGGATTTTGGTTATATTTAGTTATGATGGGGTTGGCTGGTGACGTCTGGGTGCACTCTGTTGTTTTTACTCTCTAGAAGTGCAATGCTGCAATAATCGATCAGTTGTCAAGTATGAAATAAATCGCCAACTATGTTGCTAATCAATAATTCTGGGGTTTTTTTCCACAGAAAAAGGTCACCGTTTTCTAATTCCAGCTTCTTAAATTTCTTTTTTCTACTTCTCTAAACTGAAAATGCCTGGATTATGGAGAAATCAAGACATTTGAAGATGTCGTTTGGGCTCTAAGAAACACTTAATTGACATTTTTCACCATTTTCTGATGTTTTATAGACCAAACAAGAAACTGACTAATTGAGAAAATAATCAACAGATTAATTGATAATGAAAATAATCATTAGTTACAGTCCTGTTAATCTGTCACTTGGGTGGGTTTAAGCACTTATTTTACACAATTGTATTATGTGTTGCAGTATTGCAAGTATTGTATCATGTTTTTTCAACATTTATGTGGTCTATATATTTTTGCAATTATTTTAACAGACAGTGTGATGTATGTGAGTCATGATTTTAGGGGGTATGGTCATTTTTTTGCATTTCTTTTCCACTTATATAAATATTTGTTTAAAATTCTGTGATTTTTTTCTACAGTCTGTACCAAACAAGAATGTTCCCTCATGCCAGGAGAATAAAATTTATAAGTTGCGGCACCACAAGCTCCGTCTATAACAGCATGTTTCATACATTTTACCTTTATCAAAAAAAAATTGCTGCCCCTTGGATATGGCACTTGAGTGTACTGCTATAATGTTTTGAATAACAGTTCAGCTATACAGTTTAATTTAAATTAAATAAAGAGTAATTACTTTTCTGCAGCAGATAGCTGCTACAGTGGGCATTTACTGCACAAATATTATGTATTATATGTGGGATTTACTTACAAAAAACTCAATTGTATTGTTTTGGACCTTTCACAAAGGAATAAGCAGGCATTTGGCAACACAGGCAATCCTTGCTAGCAGAAAAAAACTGACCGTCTATGTATGTTCTTTAAATTAAATGCATACATTTGCAGCTTTATCCTTTCATAGTTCATGCATGTTGATCTTACATCTGTTTTCCACTGTAGATCAGCCTCTGCTGCTGAGGAGGGATCCCCTCTTTCTCCTCCACCCTTTCCTTAATCCGCTCCACCTGGATGGAAATAACAGAACATACAATTCAGCCCTCAAACATAGTAAATAAATCTGCAAACAGCACAAATGAGCTTTTTTTCTTTTTCATCATCACATACCTTATCTGTGGGCTCTATATCAATCTCTATCTCCTTGCCAGTGAGTGTCTGTGATAAAATACACTTTGAAAGTTAATGTTAAGCAAATTATGATAACAGATACAACAGATAACTCACTCAGTAATAACCGTTATTAAGATGACTGGTTATCAAAACGGGCTAGTCGTAATGTTTGATATGACTTACCTTCACTTTAATCAGCATCTTTGTTGACCTGTTTTTATAAACTTCACTGGAGTGGGTTTAGCAAAATGACAGTATGTTAACTGAATCTATGAGTCCACCGGCAACGGGATGAAAAATAATGTCTGAATTGGATATTTTGGTGAGGAAAACTCGATATTCCTTCTCTTTCTGGAATTCAATGGGTGTTTCCTGTGTTTGTCACTGAATCCCACCGACTCCTTGTTGCTGCGTCGACTGTTCCGCTTCACTTAAAATCGGGCTAACTTGCTTTATTTAATATCAAGAAGGCACCGAATTTAGCCTAAAATTATCTTACATTAACGCAAGCACCGCCCATACAAAAAGCAAACCCAAATGTATTAGTTAAGTACCTAGAACAATCTTTACGACACCAGCGCAACGTGGTGTAAAGCGTGTCTCGTATTTGTAGTTTTGGGCTGCTTGTCGCCTACACGCTGAGGCCCTTTAAAAACTACAAGGCGGCTGTCAGTTGGTGTCCGCCTCCGTAAAGCTTCCCGCGCGCTGAGTGGAAAAGGAAGCGGCGAGGCACAGGCAAAATCAATCATACTTTCCGGTAAATACTTTCTTTTGCTAAATACACAAGACAGTGCATTCGTTGAATAATTATTAGCTTTTTGTTAGATAAACAGTTTTGCAATGCTATTAAAGTGTATTAAATTGTGCCACTTTAAACTAGTGTAACCTTGAATTTTGACGTCGGGGCTTAAGGGGCAGCGCTGTACTGATTTTTGCAGTATGGTGAAGCATTTGGACACTGCTAAGCTAGCTGAAGATTGGCTTATTACATTTGCACAACGTAGTAATTACAGCTGTGGCCACTGTAAACTCATTTTTGAACGCGAAAAGGATGTTAGGCTGCATATGAGTTTCCCCTGAACCCTAATTACATCATGCCCGTTTGTAGTTAGTGGCATTTCGTGACCATATGAGTGCATGAAGCGAGAAAAAAAGGGTGCAAAACCCAGAAAAGCGTCAGCACAAAGCTGCCATCTTGATACCTGATCTCCATCTTTTTCACAGAGTCACTTTCCAGGACAACATTTTCTTTTCCTGTCACACTACCGGCTCAACTTGTGTCCAGAATGCCTCGCATTGAGAATGACATCAAGCTGGACTTTAAGGATGTGCTCCTCCGGCCAAAGCGGAGCACGCTCAAGTCTCGGAGCGAGGTGGGTAATCCAGCTGTGGATTTTTTCCACATGAGAATCGACTGACCTAATTACAGATGTTTCCATTTTCTCAAACCTTTAGTTGTCCCTGTGAAAGGGAGGACACGTCATGGGTGTTTGGTTGTTTTAGCAGCTGCTCAGATAATGCAAGTGCTGAAGCTTCAGGCACAGACCTGTCATCTGTCACATGTGGCCTCATGCTGCTGCTCTGGTCTTCCACTATCACACGGTTAATCATGAAGAGAACTTCAAACTGCTAAGATAAATGTTTCACTAGTTAGTGGAATAAATCTGTAAAATTATAAAGTACACTAAAGTCTTGCTGTCCTTGTCTCCATCAGGTGGACCTGATGAGGAGCTTCACATTCAGAAACTCTAAGGGCACCTACAGAGGGATCCCTATCGTGGCTGCGAACATGGACACTGTGGGGACCTTTGAGATGGCCCTGGCTTTGCATCAGGTACGTTATGCATTTCACAGGTTGTGTAGACATGTTTAATGTTTCATTTTAGGGCTGCAACTATCTTCATTGTTCATTCATCTGTATTATTTTTTTGATTAATCACTATGCATTGTTTCCCAAAGCCTCAAATATTTTGTAAAGAAAGACAGTTTAATTTGCTCTGGTACAAATATTGTTACTGTGTCACTCATAGGAAGGCAAGATGACTAAAGAAGTGAAGCAAAACTAGGTGAACCTAAACTGAAGCTAAACTGTGAACACTGATGCCTAATAATCCCTGTATTACGTGGTGGTCAGATCAGGTCCTGGCTCCGATACCAGTTTTCACCAAAGCCCAGGTTAAAAATAAGACGCAACCAAGCCTTTCTGATTCTTGTTTCCACATACAACAACTTAAATACATGTGGCATCTTTGCTTTTATCCTTGTAATCATAATGAATAACACAACCTGCTGTGTGTTACCTGTCCTGACTCAGAATCCTGGTGACGTTTTTGCACAGGGACAGATTACAAGCATATCTAATATTTTAGAAAAACACATAAATCTAATTTGTTGTGTTTATTTATTCACTCCAATATCTTCCTTGCTGTGGCAAATTTTACTCCTAGTGGCCATTAGATGTCACTGCACCGTCCACAGTCAGCATTCTGAACCTCTGTATCCTTGTTGTAACACATGTCTTCATGAATATCCTTATTAATGTGTTTTTATTTGTTTCTTCCACCAGTTCACTCTCTTTACTACGATCCACAAACATTACACCGTGGATGACTGGGTGGAGTTTGCAGCAAAGCATCCTGAATGCCTGGAGGTAATAAAAGAGTTCATTATCATGTAAGAAGTGGAAGTTTGTAAATGATGGAATGTACTGTGAGACAATTCTGTCCCCTCTCTGATCATTTCTCAGAGTTTAGCAGTCAGCACAGGGACCGGCGACGGTGACTTTGAGAAGATTTCAGCCATCGTGGCGGCGCTGCCACAGCTGAAGTACATCTGTGTGGACGTGGCAAACGGCTACTCTGAACATTTTGTCCATTTTGTCAAAGATGTCAGACAGAAGTTCCCGTCCCACACTATAATGGTCAGTAGATCTCTAGTAATGCCCTTAAACTACAGCGCGTAGAACTGAGCAACTGGGATGAGTAATGAATAGAAAAATTTTGTATTGTGTGTTTCGCTCAGGCAGGAAACGTGGTGACGGGAGAGATGGTGGAGGAGCTCATCCTCGCTGGTGCTGACATCATCAAAGTAGGCATCGGACCAGGTGATCAAACATTTTGGCTCCTTACCATTAGACTGAGGATACACATATCATAGGCTGTAATGTTGCTACCAACAAGCCTTCATCACTCCTGACAGTTTTACATTATTAGCTTGTAAATGCTTCACAGATGCTTCCTGTGTCTCTACTGAGAGGCATTCATGGTTGAGATGTAGCAACCCTTGTTCATGCATCACATAAGAAATAATGAACCAAACTTCTGCTTCCTGTTTGACCGCAGACTAGTCATCTGTTGACTGTGTGTCTTCCTCTTCAGGCTCTGTGTGTACCACTCGCAAGAAGACAGGGGTTGGCTACCCTCAGCTCAGCGCTGTGATCGAGTGTGCAGATGCAGCCCACGGCCTGGGTGGCCACATCATTTCTGTGAGTGACTTGGTCTTTTTATAATTCACTCATGACACAGAATTTCTACACAGTCCTTGTTAAGAATTACTGTTTAAGGAATATTAGGATTTGGAACATAGCTTTACTGTTGTTTTTTATTTGAGTTAGATGAGAAAATTGATAACACTCCTGTGGAGGGTGACAGGGGTTTGGCGCTGACATTAGGAGGAAGCATCTAGAAAAAAAAAACACACAGGCACAGGGAGAATATTCAAACTCCACACAGAGAGGCCTGTAATATTGGATTTTATAACTCTTCCGCTGTGAGGTGACAGTGCTAATCATTGTCCACCATGTCTCCCACACGCTCACATCTACTCCCTCACTATTCACCAACAGATGGGAGACACATGGCTCAGCTCCATTCATTCATTCATTTCTATTTTTTATTTATACCTCAGAGAACACATTAAGGGACAGCCCTCATTTTCAGTGGGTACATATAATAAGTGCAGACACACTTAAAATCAAATAGCAATATAATAAGCATACATGGCTATAATAGATAAAAACATAATTAAAAATGAGGCAAATAACTGCCTGTTCATAGCCCTCTGTATTCTTCTGGTATGGTCCTTTGTTCTCAGGATACCGCTGTTTGTTTGAGTTGTCACCCTGAGAATGTGCAGCCTTATCTTTTGCTCCTGGCTGCACATATACAGCCACGATAGACAGACAGTGACACTCATAACAGGTTCTGTTTTTTTTTTTCCCTCCTTTCCTCTCTTCTCCATCACAGGATGGGGGATGTACCTGTCCGGGAGATGTTTCAAAGGCTTTTGGCAAGTCTTAGTGCTTGAACTCCAACTATTTTAAGAATTGTTTCCATTAAAACAGGCTTGTCACTGTTTGGCTGTTTCTGTGTGACTCTCAGGTGCTGGAGCGGACTTTGTAATGCTGGGTGGTATGCTGGCTGGCCACTCAGAGAGCGGAGGTGAGGTTATCGAGAAGAACGGCAAGAAATACAAGCTGTTTTATGGGATGAGCTCAGACACAGCAATGAAGAAACATGCAGGAGGCGTGGCTGAGTACAGGTCAGTGGCAATTTTTTTTATAACAGTTTTCCTGCTACTGTTAAACATATCTCTTCTGAGAGTGATTCTTTCATTGTGTGTGTTTTGTTTTTTTAATTTGCTTCAGAGCATCAGAGGGAAAGACAGTGGAAGTTCCTTACAAAGGTCCTGTGGGTGAGACAATACGAGACGTCCTGGGAGGGGTCCGCTCCACCTGCACCTACGTCGGGGCAGCCAAGCTGAAGGAGCTGAGCCGCAGAACCACCTTCATCCGGGTCACCCAGCAGCTCAACACCGTCTTTGGCAACGACAGCTGAGCATCCAGCTCGATCGCACTTTGGATGGAAAGAAGTCTGCAACACTGCCTGTCTGACTCCCGGATGCTGTTTGTGCATTGTCCATGTGCAAGTGAACAGACACGTATACTAATACCTAAATACTGCCCTTTTTATCTTCTTTTTTTTGGGTACAAGTTTAAGTTGTGCAATTTAAAATTTCATTTAGTTTTAGTGTTTTATTTTTGACTTCCCTCACATTACCAGATATATTTTAAGTTTGCAGCCTCTGAGTCACTTTAGACTCTGGATGTTTTCACTTTTTTCACAAACTGTTTCAGGGGTCAGTGTTTCTCTAAACAGCAACATGTAAACTAGAGCACTAACTCTCGAGCTCTTATCATCGCAATGCAAAGTCCTTAGTTGTTCTTCTTACATCCATGCAAATATGTGGCTGTTTGGAAACAGTATCTACAACACGTCTCAGTGCTCTGTGCAGAGATGATACTCCAAGCCTTTGTCACCAACATAGAAAATTATTGCAAACGTCTTAAAGTATTTGTAAAGCCTAAATAATTCCATATATATGCAACTGCTGTAGTTAGTTAGATTTAATTTTTTCAAATATCAATCATTCCATCGCTCTTGTTTTGCACTTTAATGATTTTTAATCTGACGGTCTAGCATTAGTCTGCCTTGCTGTCTCATGGAAATGCTTCGAGACTACAGTGTAATACATTAGCACGCTGAATACAATATTAGAGTACAGACAGCACATAGCAATGAAGTGCTGAGTGCATAGCGGAAGTGTTACTGAATATGAGTATACCTGCAGCTTTTGTCTTCAGTGGCTCTAGCTGCTCCTTAACAATACCAAAGTTTGCGTTGGTTTACTTCGTACACATTCACGGTTTCATTTATGATTCGTTATAAAGTCAGCTGTCATTCCCTGGAGTTAGTTTTGGACGGTTAATGTAGTTACTCCATTTCCAGTTGTTTTGATGTGATGTGTGTTGTTTAATTTTCTTATTGTCATCCATTGGTGTGAAGTGACGAAAAAAGGATTGTTTTTATGTTGCCAAAACATGAAGTTAAAATGCTGGGATGTCTCTTCACATTTTATTCAGTCAATAAAAAAACATTCCACATCTTATCATTTTTATGGCTTTATTATTGATTAGATCATTTACAGTGTAGATAAAAAACATGCATTTTTTTCCCCCTTGTTGCTATTCAGACTTAATAAAATCAAAGCACTGTGAGATCCTGTAATAACTGAGAGTATTGATGCATTCACAGCCAGTAGATGGAGACAAACACCTGAAAGTGGCAGGCAGAGATAAGTAGAAATATTACTGTTACAAGTTTGTCTCGACATTAGAAGCAAATCCCACAACAACAACAAAAATTATTTCAATGCAAAGACATTTAGCTGAAGTTATACTGATTATAGTGTATATGTTGTTAATATACTCAAAACTTTCCCCTCAGGAGTCTGGTACTTATGTTGTGTCACTATGTATTCATTTGACAGCAACCACCAATCAGCTGCATTAATACTCAGCAGTGTCACTGAAAGCGATGATCAGCAAAATCCCATCAATTACAAAAGCTGACAAACCAGCTCTGTGATGAATGGACTACCAAGAATTTTTCCACAAGAACAATTACTCTGGTTAGAGTAGCCGGTCATTTGATCATAGTAGACATTTCCATTCTTTCTGTAAACTCTCCCACATGAACATTGCCGCTGCTGCTGGGACACTGCGAAAGTATTCACCTTTCCCAGTCGGACAAATGGAACCAGGTCCGATTTGTTGACACTTATCACATCGGTGCTTATTACTTCCCTTTGGTGCGGTCCACTTCTGCTAAAGAAGGACAGTGAGGAGTCAGCCAAGTTCCAAAACACCTCCACAATCTCAGGTCGTGGTTCTGCCTGATCTCCATTCTCTCCCTGATTTGTGATTGGAATAGAACAAACCGAGAGTTTCTGTCCTGATTTGGTCGTGTCAGTTTTCTGCATCCCCAAACCTTCTGACGCATCAGCGTAATCATCATGGTCTGTTGTTAGAGAGCTGAGCTGGTTGTCTTGGCAGGACAGTCCATAGACAGGTCCAGCCATAAAGTTGTTTGCCGACTGTTTGTCACAAAAACCAATTGTCCAGTCAAACTCTTTGGGAAGTCTGACCACCCACCTCTGAATGTTGGGATCTGCATGGGTGCCACAGATTAGCAGAGTGGCAGAGCACTGCCCCAGCCAGCTATTATAGAAAACCTTTCTCTTGTCTGTGGACAGTGACATGCTGGAGCCTGCAATCTGCGGGTCAAAGGTCAGATTTGAACTTGTGCCAAAAAACTCCTCGTGGTTCTCAGGGTCAACCAGAGTCAACAAGGATCCCCAGAAGTGAGACGCTTGCTCCATCATCTTTTCACCACCCACTCTTATCTCCTGCACCAGTTTGTCTCGATGGCTGCCAGGCTCCAGGCCTTATGCTTGGCATCCTGCTAGGTTTCATTTTTCACAAAATAAATAAGCTGAACTGGATTATGACTTGGCAAATGTTTGTGGAAGGCTTTGGGTGTAAAAGACACTGACTGGTAGTAAAAAAATAAATAAATAAAAAAGCAGGCAAACTTTAAAATTCAGGTAGAAGTCATCCCTTGATTATTCAGCAAAAATATCCATATTAATTTACATTTTCTTGATTTATATTTAGTCTTTTGGACTGTCAGCTTTGCTCAACTCATCTTG